TTTATTTCTACAACACCCAACTACAATTAAGCATATAATCCTACCTGAAACGGGTACAAATCGTCGTATTTAAAATCGAGGCGTTAAGCCGTTACTAAGACCGCCATCTTTTTAAACAGCATATAGACCGTATAATATGTCATTTTGAAGGCGGGGCTAAATTAGGCTTTTATAACAGCCAATCAAAAAGGCAATTTTGGACCTGATAATAAATTGCAGACCCCAGGATATGGTAAAAAGGGCGTGTACTAAATGAGTTTGCCACGTCAAACTGAAGGCTGCCAATCGTAACTAAAAACAAACACATCAGTATATCTCAACGTTTTTAGCTACGTTCTCGTAGCTAGGGCAGACCTAGTGTAGCCGCCAACCCCGAACAGACAGACAGACAGACAAACAAACAAACGACAGTCACAAATATTAGTATAGAAGATTATATACATTATTAAATCATCGAAATCTAAATATAAACAAGTATTAATTCGTTTTCGTATAAAGAATTGTACTTGATATCATAATTTGAGATAAATCGACGAGTATTTTAAATCATGTTTATTTTACTAAACACGTATTCGCTAGATTTGTTAAATCATGCTTTTCGGCTTAGTAAAATCTTTATATAAATCTATGAAATAACAAAGGTTATTTTATTTTAAATTAGCTGGTATAAACTACATGTACAAGTATGAAATATATCTTCTATTAATTCAGTTCACCCATGCTATAAAATAACGAATCGAATCAATATCAAATCTTATTCTTACGATTACCAAATTCATACAATATAAAAACATAGAAATATACTTAAAACATTTTACATACAATAAATAAAGAGACATACCTTTGAATAGAAATCGGTGTTCAAATATTGTAGTTAAAAGTATAATTTATTCAAGTTTTTTTCTAGTAATTTGATTGGTGGATGTTTAAAGCATCCAGAAAAAAAAACAGAAGCTTGGTCATTGATTGGTTAAAAACCAATGTTGCCTAACTCAATCCTTCAAGTGTTATATTGAGTAATTATATTGCCTCCAGTTAATCCCAGCGTATTGTTTGAAAAGTCTTACGCGTCACCATTAATTATACTTAAAACCAATCTAAAATGATACACAATAAAGGACTCTTCTAGTGTCTCTTTAATCCGTAAATATTCTTATATAACAGGGTTAAGCTGTTATCTATCAACCTCAGCAAGGAAATGTTACTTTAGTTTTAAAATAAAATACGCAATTTAAATCTTATTAATTAAATACGTATGCAAATTATATATACTATTCAAAAAAAGTAGGGGATATTTGATTTTTAAGTGTTATTAAAGTCACCTAATGAAACTGACGAAGAAACAAATGACAAAATGAAATGAAGTTCACATTCATCGATTTATTCCAAATGATCGTTAGACTAAGTAAGGCACAGACTGACCATTATAAGGGTAAAATGATACCAGGGGTCAAACAGCAAAGTTACCACAGCATCACAACCAAGTCAGTAACGGGTAAATCCTCCTCTGTTTGCCAAACAAGCATTGATCCGACGTGGCATACTCCTAATGAGACGTCTAAGGTCATTTTGGTCCAGATTGTCCCATTCCTGTTGCAACGCAGCAGCAAGTTCTTGGACATTGGCAGGACGTTGTTGACGTTGACGTAACCTTTGTCCAAGCATGTCCCAGACATGCTCGATGGGGGAGAGGTCGGGACTCAGTGCTGGCCAAGGTAATGTTCTGATGTTCTGTTGTTGGAGGTAACCTGTAACGATCCTGGCCCTGTGACATCTTGCGTTGTCATCCTGGAAGATGAAACGGCGGCCATGACGTCGTGCGAACGGCACAACATGGACTGCCAAGATGATGTCCCGGTAGTACTGGCCTGTAACACGCCCTGCAACAACATGTAAAGCCGTTCTTCAAGCAACAGTGATGCCTCCCCACACCATAACAGAACCACCCCCAAATCTCTCAAACAAGGGATCACGCGAGGACATCGGGCGCGAAGGTGACCCCTATGCAGTCGATTCCGAATCGTCTGGCCACTCACTCTCACACCAGTGTATGTGTTAAGACGAGCGCTGATCTGATTTGCTGTGATGACACGATTTCTCAAGGCCAAGGTACGGATAAATCGATCCTGGGCTTGAGTTGTCGCCCTTGGTCGACCTGAGCGTGGTCTGTCCTGTACAGATTGTGTATCACGGTATCTGGACCATAGCCTGCTTATGACAGACTGAGAAACATTCATCGTCCGCGCCACAACCGCCTGTGTTGTGCCGATCTGTAGCATGCCAAGGGCACGTAACCTTTCATTTTGGGTAAGCCGACGCATATCAAAATTTGTTTCTGGTCACTAAAACAATTAAACTGATGTTTCCACCCTGGAATTCAATACCACAATGACTGTAACATTCAAAGTCAGAGTCGTGCATATCTTGGGTTGGACCCCCATGATGATCCCAAGCATCACCTACATTCCATGCGGTAGCTATTGGTGCGTTTGGGCGTCACATGTAACTGGAAATGTTTCTTCTGTTAGGTTCTATAGTGACTTTTTCGTAGTCATTTGCATATTTTAGTATTATGCCCCCAAAATCAAATATCACCTCATGAACTATTAGAGTGGAAAAACCTGTTATTTTGAACTCTTAAAGGGGTATTATGGGAAATTAGATAATGGGATGGCAGTTCTCACTATAATAGTGAAAAACTAGATAATTTAAAGGGGATTTGCTGAAAATTTCATTCAAATTGATCCACTGTAAACCGAGATCTTAGCTTTTGAATTTTACGCCTAGTCTCGATCATCATTACTAGAGTCGGTACGATAAAAAAATAGTCTCGATTATCCATTTTTGGATTTAATCACCAATGAGCGTTGAGCAGCAGATCGGATTCAAACCCAGTAAATATCGCAGGCTAGCGATGACATCAGGAGTTAATTATGATCTGGATAAGTTGATTATGTCTAATTAATAATTTAGATAATTTCAGGCTTACGGACAGACCTGCAAAAGGCAGATTTAGCTCTTGCATAATGTATGTTTAATAAAACCGGAAGTTATACTTCAAGACCAACATTTTTAATATCAGTTGTTAGGAGAAGTCGGGCTCATCAGATATGCAAAGGTCAAAGGTCATTGAACTGTTAGGTCACCTCATAGGTCAAAAGTTGAAAAAAAAAATCAAAGTTAAACCAGAAGTAAAGAAAATCGAAATTCAAAAATCGGCTCCCTAAGAACTCTTGCCATTTGGGGTAGGTACAAAACAGAAAAGGTTTTCGAAAATCGAATATCGATTTTGCTGAAAACGATTTTAAGGCTTTTTGTAAAATCCAAAATGGCGGCCAAACGCTTAAAAATGTTATCGAAATGTTATCTGGAAATGAAAGATACTATCTAGGCCTAACACCACAATATCTCATTTTTAGTATATTTTTAAAATGGAGAGAACTATTCATATTCGGGGAAATCGGAAGTCCCTGGTATTTTTCCGGAAGTTTCCGGAAACCATCACAAAAAATTTTAATGTGCTATTTTGAAGGCACCAACGTGTTCCTTATCCCTACCAAGTTTCAAATTGATACCTTAAATATCAGTTGTAAGTAGACGTCAGGGTCATCAGATATGCAAAGGTCAAAGGTCAGTGAACTGTTGGGTCACCTCAGTAGGTCAAAAGTCGAAAAAAAAAATCTAAGTTAAACAGGTTTACATTTCGTTGTCTTGTAATTTATGTTCATTCTTGTACTAAAGATTATACTGGATTATATCCGCAGTGACAACAATCTCATAATTCCAGCTTCTTTAGCCTGCAGGATGTTTTTGTTAAATAATCTCAATTGTTCAATTTCTAAATCAGTTAATTGAGGACATTGAAATACAATCTAAAATTGTAATACTTAGAACTGTTTTTATAATGTAATATTATATGTTTGTAAATTGAAAGAGGAAGCTTGACATTTCACATTATCTTAATATGTCTAGAATATATTACACATAATATGGTCCACCGGGATTCATCTTATATTATAGACCTGCAAATGTTACGTTATGTAACGTCAGTGTTCAAAGATAGATCGTGAAAATTGAATATATTGAAAATTTCAGTCAAATTATTGGAGTTTTGACAAGAAATAGACAAATTGGCAGAAGGAAACCCCACTCACAGTTCATATTTTCGATTGTCACGTACTATTGCCACGATAATAAACGAAGTCTCAATTGTAAGTCCTTTTATCAGTAGTGTTTGGCCCTTTTAGCGTATAACTCTTTATCGTTTGCTAAATTCCATCACCAGATAATCCTAACAGATATAATATTTTCAAATTTATTTTCAGGTTGTAAACGATCCAGTCAAGACATTTGCCAAATAGATAATTCTTATCTCCCTTTATGGATGGAGAAAGCAAAGTGTATTGCTTTGTTGTGGATCAAACGTGACTGAAAAGTGTAAACACGTACTGTCAATGGAGTTATATACCGATGATTGAAGCATGTGAAAACCTGACTGAAAGAAATGTTATAGAAGAAGCAGGCGAAATGGAGTCTCATCAAATAATTTAAATTCAGTAGAGATTGGTGGACATAATTTGAGTTCAAATTGCCCCCGGAACACATTTATTCACACGAATCTTAGTCCATGTCATTTTTATATCCCAGGCATGAGGTGGTTTCAGATTTTAACACAAATGATGTGCTCCCGAGATTTGACATGAATGGTTAAGATAGTTAAAGGGAAAACATTTGCTGTCAACCATAAATTTGTATACAGTTAATGGTACATGCCTACTCTTAATATGTTTGATGCACAAAAAAAGACCGAATCTTGCTGCAATGAGCACAAGAGGCGCATAATTGTTGAGGTCTATTAATGCTTTTAGTTTTAATGAATGGATTCTTAATATGACCGGAAAACAATTTAAACAATCATTCAATGAACGACTAGTGATATTTTGAATGTGTGTATACAACTATACGTCATAGTAGAAACTGTTTATATGAAGGTTGATTACATCGTATTGGCGTTTAAGTTTTAAACCCGCCTGGAAGTGTTCGATCAATAGTGTGCTTTCTTGTAAAGACACACCTCTCTCTTTAAAGATACAAGTCTGTAAAATAGTGTTTTGATAGAAGGGAGGGAATCGAAAAGCTTGTTGAGAATCAATGGACTAATCCAATATGGTGGACAATGTGACGACTTCTATTTCCGGGAACGTTACTCTTGACGGTAAAATTTTGGTCAACAGAATTATTGAAGGTCTTGTTCTATCAGTGATCTGCGTTGTTGCACTGGTAGCTAATATATCGCTATGGGTAGTTATATGTAGAACGCGGGAATTGAAAACAGAAGCCAACTATTTGATTTTGTGTTTATCTGCAGCTGACGTTCTTGTGTCATTGGCCATGCCGATCACGTGTTATACTATATTTAGGGGGGATTGGGTATTCAGTGATGACGTGTGTAAATTGGCAGGATTTATCAACATGGTGACGTTTGTGGCCAGTGTTATGTCACTGGGTGCAATAAGTATTAACAGGTACTATAAAGTGTGCACAGGTCAGCGATATAAGAAAATCTACACGAAGAGAAATGTTTTCTTGATTATATTAGGTAGGTTCACAAGTTGGTGTAAAACACCCCATGTCCAGGGTCGGATTAAGCATGCATTGGACCCTTGCCTCAATAGTGAAAAAAGGACATATTCTGGTCATTGGAAGGGAATGTCGCGGAGCACTCAATATCATATTTGAAAAACCTCTATGGAGATCTGAAAAGGGGGAAACTCCGGAAAAGGAGAGGGGGTGCAACTCCGGAACAAAAAGTCGCCAAATATTGATTATTGATAGGGTTCGTCCCCTGATCACCCCAATGCATCCAACTGATTATCTTAGGGTTCGATAGAGTTCGTCTTCTCATGACCCAAATGCTTCCGAAAACATTTGAAAATGATCCGTTGAAAATTATATCCTCTATCTTGTTTACAGGTTATATGCGCGAGGAGGTAGTGACACCGTAACGGAAAGTTTCAGTACGCTGATTGGTCTTCTCATGACCCCCACGAAATTTATCATGCCTACAAGGTGTTTACAAACGGGGGGCATAACTCTGGAAAGGAATATCGATAGACTTCCTCCTCTTATGACCACAATGCTTCACACCAAATTTGAAAAAGATCGTAAAAAGCTGTAGCCTCTAATCGTGTTCACAAGCCAATTGTTGACGGACGGACTGATCAACGGATGGCATGGATAATATGACGGCCAGATATTGGTTATGTGACCAAACATTCATGTTATTTTTTTTGTTAGTTAATATACATCTTTTTTCAACAAATTTGATGTTAAAGTTATTGGTTTGAAGCTAGCTTAGATGCCATTATAAACATTATTTTTCTCTGGCATATCGACCTAGATGAAAATATTCTAAAGAGGAGGCGTACATGTGTTATCAAGTAATTACTTAAAGGAGCTAAATCGCTAATATTTGGGACCTAGAAATTGACACAGAAGTGTTGCAACGCATATAATAATGTAGTATGAATGTATATAAACTGATTTACATTCAATCGTTTCCATTTTTACTCTAATTTCAAATCAGTTATGTTCGGCGAAATACGCCAGAAGTCTCAATCGAATAGCAATCTCTAGCGTCTGGTTATTCCAGTCTACACCGATATTATTTATTGTGCATGCTCTCCAGATAAGAATATGTCGTCACCGTTTGACATGGCTCGTGAAATATGTCTAGCCTCGTTCTTCGAGTCCCTTGGTACAAATTGCGCTGAAACGCATTATGGTACACGATTCATGTACCAATAGTAAAGTGTTTATTGCGTCTTAAATATTGGATATCAAAAGCCCATCTTTTCCCGGTAAGACCACAACATCAATGTTGATTTAAATTGACATATAATTCGTGTTCAATGTCGAAGACTTTGGATGATATTGAGTTAGCGACTTAGCTACTCAGTATCATCCACAGTCTTCGACATTGCAAACAAGACGTATTAGTCATTTTAAATCAACATTGATGTTGCTATCTTACGCTGAATAGATGGACTTTCAGTATCCAATATTTAAGGCATAATGAAAATTTAAAAATCGGCACACGAATCGCGTGCCAGAATGCTTTCGAGTGCCATTTGTAATGAAGCGACTCGGTGAACGAGGCTAAACATACACCACAGGAGAATACTAACGGTGTAGACAGGAATAACCAGACGCCAAAGACTGCCGAACTAACAGATTAGAAATTACGGTAAAAACAGAAACGATTGAATGTAAATCAGTTTATACACATTCCTATTCCATGCGTTCCGACCCATTTGTGTTCATTTCTAGGTGCCAAAGAATAGGGATTTAGCTCATTTAATTATCTTCAACAAGTTTCGATTATAAATTCTAAAGTTGTTCCTCTTTGTTACGAAATATTGTTAGCCCCTTAAATTATGAGGTTTAGTTAAATTTTTAAAATTTGTGTGTGTGTGGTTTAGAACTGGTGAGAGTGTGTTTCGTTGCCTGGCAACCTACATGTATGTATGTACTTCAAGTACTACACTCTTTCTATGTACGGGAAGCTCAAGTTTACAAATGCAAGAGCATGTGAGATTATATTCTAATGAAGAATCTATGTGACGTCTTATGAATTTTTTCAAAGGAGTCACATTTCAGACTGATGTCTAATTAATTAGTTGTGTCATGTTTTATGGATAAGCTCATACTAAAATTACTATTCTCGGGGTGAATTTCTATTAAAAATAGAGATTATATTTTTTATCCATTATCATTCTGAAACGAAATTGGAAAACGTGTGGGCATCAGAGCGATATATAATATGATGTTCTGTGAAATGTTATTAGAAATGAAATGAAATGAAATGGGGTTTAACGTCCCACTGTACTGCTCCTATGCTGGGCTAATGAAGACGGGCATAAGTCATACAGTGTGCTATGAGGGAAATTTTGCCCGGGCAGCGGCACTATCGCCTACTCTTATATCGAATTCCAACTGCCAAGGGATCTTTTAGGTGCATTCTAATGTATACACGGGACATTGGTTTTTAGTACCATCCGAAGGACTAGACAGCTGTCCTTGTCAGGCCCTCTGTCCTGCATCACTGAAATGTTATTAGAAATCTACGCCAGTCAATAAAAATAATTAGACTGTATGCACAATTTTAGTTAGAGCTATCGCTCCATCGTTAAGATGTAGTCGTTTTAGGTTTCTGCACGAGCCGTACACCCGTAATGGCTGTCAAAGGTAAAACGAATGCTATTGACCCGTAAACAATAGAGACTTTTGGCAAGCGGAATTTTCCCATCCGTATCACGTATTCGTATCGTATACGTGATACGTTGCGTCAGTGTAGTTTTAGAGTTTTGGTAGATTTTCGCGTCGCGTATGTGTGCGTCGATCAACTGAGCTTAGTTCTATAACAGCATGATGGCAGATATCTACCAAGATCACAATCAGTACTAGTCAAGTGCCTATTAGAGCCGACAATTTCCCGGAGGGAATAAAGTCGCCCGACAGTCGCTGAGCTATTAAAAAAAATAATGTCGAATCTTATTAAAAATCTTCGACTCGACTGCAATTTTTGGTTTCACTAATGTATCATTTCAGAAAGTTTTTACCACAGAATAAAATCATTTACAGAATTGCAAGGTTCCGTTCCCTAAATTTAGCACGTAGATCAACCATCATGGTTCAAATCACATCAAATATACACCTTCGTGTTCTGGAATGCACACAGATTCATAAAAACGCTACGATACAACATTTCAGCGTCTAAAAGTAGCAAAAAAGACGTTAAAAGGACACGACAATGATATACGGACTTTTTCCGTATGAAAGCTGTTCGATACGTGCTGCCGTATCCGTGTGACGTATCAAGTAATAGAAATGCACACACATTGATGACGTCACACGCAAAATCCATACGGATACGCGATACGGACCAGAAATTTACGCTTGCCAAAAGTCTCTAATGTTTCGATCTGCCTGTTCTTATATTTCTAATTAATCAATACCATTCAATCGATGTCACTTGTGAATAACTTTATTAAGTGATCGATTATATATTGCCTTTTGATTATGTTGGTACCATTTCTTCTTTCAGGTATATGGCTATTCTCGTCGGCATTAGCAACGCCTCCTTTAGTGGGATGGGGAGTGTATAGCTATCTTCCAAATCAGTCTTTCTGTTTCAGTGAATGGCCAGCTTCTATTTCCTACACGTTTTTCATGGTCGGGGTGTGCTTTGGTGGCCCCTGTTCCGTCATGACGGTGTCCTATTGTTTAATTTTTAGAAAATACCGCCGCAGTGCGCGGACAGTATTACATTCCAGTGCATTACATTCCAGTGCAATACCTTCTAATACAACTTCTAACGTCAACAACATTGCTATTAATTCTGTGAATGTACATCACACGGTTACAAAAAATGTAGTCGCCGTCAAAAACAGACCACTCCAAATAGAGAAAAGACGCCTTGAAGAACTTCGACTCACAACTACCTTATTAGTGATGATATTAGTATTCGTGTTGTCATGGTTACCGTTTTGTGTGGCTATGTTTCTGTCTGTTTTTGCGAAAGAATATTTGCCACAGGCGTTTGATATGTTTACCCTGCTGCTTGGTTATGCGAATAGTTGTTACAATCCCTTTATTTATGGTATCATGAACAGTCGTGTTAAACAAGGTTACAAGACACAGTTTACATCCCTCTTGGTATGCTGTGGTTTAAAGAAACAGGGAATAAATTTAAACGAATCAAGGTCAATGACAAATAGTGTCCCAGACAATTAAATGTGACGCGCACGACCGAAATGAAGACATCCAACGGGCCCGAAGAATTCGGGTTAACGGCAATGGCAACGAGGCATAATACACCCCTCGCCAAATAAAAAGAAAGAAAAAGACAAGAACATTGCGAGTGAACGTGCCACGCTAGACTAGCATTAGCAAAGATGAAATCCACTCCACAGCTACGACAGCTTACGAGTGTCATCGTCTTGACAATTTCCATAAATCTCATATTTAAAGTATCTGGTCGCCATTTGACGGATTGCTATTACATATTGTGAAAGTTGAATCTCTTATAGGAATATCAATCCAAAGTGGTTCAATTCTGTATAGTATTTACAAAATAATGAATAAAAAAATGGGCATCCTCTGCAGACTATCACAAGAATTATTTAACCAGATATATTATTACAACTTCTTGGGTTAGAAACGCGTAATCCTAAAGAGCATTAGAAATTTGGTTATTCTGTCGCAAATGATAATCCCTATTTTGATAATGTTTGTATTGTTGTCTCCGTGATAGGAAAATCATTTTTCAAACTTATTCCATAATACTCCTATTCCAGAGTCAGATATTGATGAAATTGAAATGAAAACCCATTCCGTAGAATCTTCGTTGGAGATGCTTTCCTTCTTACAAACTGTGTGATTTGATGATATATTTGAGCTAGGTGCTACTAAAGCTAATTTATCTGCCTGAAATCCCAATCTGTTTCACAGAGAATTACGAGTCTAGTAGTAATATTTCTGTCAAAGATGACTGCCTTAACATGTGCCGTCACAGCACGCTTCGTCAATCATTGGCTGAATGGCGCGTGCATTGTTTACATAAGACATTACTGCTTCGGGCGGAATGCTGCCTTTTAGTCATTTTAATACCCATTTACACTAAATAGGAAATAATTTTTACCTACAAATACGTCAAACGCCTTTATTTATTTTTCCATTACATAAAAAAAATGTTTTAGAATTTAATTTGTTGCAGGAAAAAAGTTAATATTTCTGGCTCATTAAGTTGCATCGATGTCAGCCTTATCAGTGATTGTAGCGGCCTAGCGGAATTTCACTGCTGATCAGTGTGCTGAAAACTAATTAATCGGAAGACAACTAACTACCCCATGCGGCGAGAATCTTTTTTCATCACGTGCCTTAATTGAGGGAGAATTCATTTTCACCCTATATCTGTCGTTAGTCGTTGTCCATTTACCACAAATATCAAAGCCAAGGTAAATTCCTGGATCAGAAATGAAATGAAATGGGTTTAACGTTCTGCTGCGACTAGGCTAATAAAGACGGACATACGCCATACAGTGTGCTATGTGTGAAATTTTGCCCGGACAACGGCACTATGGCCTACTCTTATATCGAATTCCAACTGCCAAGGTATCTTTTACGGGCACGGTTAATCGCCCCATCTGAACGACTAGACAGATGTCTTTGTTAGGCCCTCCACCCTGCACGACTACGGAAACCACGTCAGAAAATCCCGACGAACTCGCTCGGCCTATGCAGGGATCGAACACGTGACCTCCGGGGATTTCCAACTTCTATTTCCGCCGTTTAATCGCAGAGTCTACTGTTCTCAAAACCGTTAACCATTAGATCAAGCGCCCCTTGCGTCACTCGAGGAGACAGACATTAGCTTAACCCTTTACATTTTTTGCATTACGTATGCCCCGTTGGTATTTTTCTGAGTATCCAGTATCCAGTATATATATATATATATATATATATATATATATATATATACACCAAAACTGGCATACCGTATCTTTGAATATAAATGAATAAATAAATATTCATAACTGACCAGTATTTAAAATTCTTTAACTTAAAGATGCATTATGGGAGATTTTAATGAGAGTTGGCCATTCTTGCTACAACAGTTCAAAAATAGATGATGAAAGAAGAATATATTGAAATTTCAGTCAAATTACTTTATTCTGAACAAAGTTATCACTGTTCTCAAAACCGTTAACCATTAGATCAAGCGCCCCTTGCGTCACTCGAGGAGACAGACATTAGCTTAACCCTTTACATTTTTTGCATTACGTATGCCCCGTTGGTATTTTTCTGAGTATCCAGTATCCAGTATATATATATATATACCAAAACTGGCATACCGTATCTTTGAATATAAATGAATAAATAAATATTCATAACTGATCAGTATTTAAAATTCTTTAACTTAAAGATGCATTATGGGAGATTTTAATGAGAGTTGGCCATTCTTGCTACAACAGTTCAAAAATAGATGATGAAAGAAGAATATATTGAAATTTCAGTCAAATTACTTTATTCTGAACAAAGTTATCACCATTGTAATTTTTGACTAGAAATAGGAGTCAACTTTCTCTTCACCGTCTCCGGAAATGGCCGATCATTTGATTGACAGGCGTTAACGCCACCTACATAATCTCGATTATCAAGTAACGTTTTCAATGGCTGTAGTACCGTTAGCCTATTCGGTTCAATTCCTATCACATTCATTTTTACTACAAATTAAAAATAAGACTTTTAATATATAGATAAGAAGCGAAAGTTTGAAAGGAATGGACCGAATCAATGAGGCATAATTATAGCCGACTTCTTGTTAGTCTGCGTGTACTCTTGTACTGTAGTAACTGGGGTAGGCCTACGTAACTCCCGAAGCAGACAAATAGGAAACAGTGATCCAATGGGGCTGCAATTCAACTGGGGTGATGTTAGCTGCGATGTTTATCAATTTCCATATTTTTTCTGTAAACGCAAGTGGCAAAAGAGCGTATAATACCGACATCCAAACTCTCATTTTAACCATAACTAAACATAATATCAAGGCCGTATATCAACAGCGGCCTCGCTTCGTACACTCTATCATTTAGCCTCGATCTAAAACTTCCGGGAGTATGACGTCAACGTAACGGTTAATCTCCGCTTACGACGCCAATCAATGAAAAAATTTAATCAATCAATGAAATTATGTTTAAATCCAAGCCGAATCCAAGCCATCCGTGTGTCTACAGAGTTGATTTTGTGCTTGTTGTGTAAATAAAGATCTAATTTATAATTTCTATGACAGCTGAAGCCTAAATAAAGAAGCCTCGATCTAAAATTTCCGGGAGTATGACGTCAACGTAACGGTTAATCTCCGCTTACGACACCATTTAAAAATGTAATCAATCAATGAAATCCTGTTTAAAACGAGGTTAATCTTATCATCTGGTAGTATTAAGATAGTTTGCACCATTTCGGGTTGAAACTAGTTTCCACCTAAATAGGGGTAACTCAAAGCCTTTAGTGGTGTAAACCGATAACACCCAATTAGTATTACACCAATTCAGGTGGAAACTAGTTGCCATTTCTAGTACTGTAACCTACCTGGTGTAGATTAAGCATTACCCCCCCCCCCCCTAGGATGTTTTGTAAATTACACTTCCATTTTAATCGTTACACCAACGCGAGTGTAATTTGTTTTGATGGGTATTTATTTCAAGCCAACGACTTCTAAGTTCAGCAAACTTGAAATTGGCTATCGGTTTCTATGATAGCCTGATTAGTAGGCCTATAGCGCGTCTAGCCCGACCCAGATTACTTATAGACCGTCGGCTTCATTTTACAACGACATTAAATTGACAAATACCCATTAGACTAATTCAAATTCAACTGCTGTTGGGCAATTAGACAATCTGTATTACTTTACAATGAATACAAATCACGATGAAAAATTAATACACATATCCTTACATCTTAGCTGAATAATGTGGTTTATTTATTTATGCACCTCGTCGGAATTAAGAATTAGTAATTAAGATATTGTACTTCGTAATATTTTGGAACATTTACACGTCTTTAAGTGTATACAAGCTAAACAAATCTATACTTTACTCGTTATGAGTAAACACTCTAAAATTATAGTTATAGTTGTGTTGTGTTACTAATGCAATCAACGTCATATTTTACAAAATACACTCAAATTGGAGTACACAAATTCTTTTGTAACGCAAGATACGGTGTAAAATTGACACCTGATTCGGAGGAATGTTTCCCTATAATAATTACACCTGTTGGTGTAAATGCAATAAAACGCTTGTAGTGGGGTAGCGCATCCCAAACACCCTTTAGCGGCTACAATTACACCTATCCTGGTGTTCAGTACTCATAAATATCGATTACACTTTTGCAACCCAATAAACGCTGTAAAAATTAACGATGTTCTATGATTATTCACCAATAATAGTTACACCCTTTGGCGTAAATGAAATGCAGTATAACACTGGTAGTGGTGTTGCTTATCTAAAACACCCCACAATTACACCTATTCAGGTGTTCAGTAGTCATGAATATCGGTTACACTTGTTAGGTGTAGTTCTTTTTGTTGGTTACCCTTGGAAAGGTATTACATTTAAAAGAAACGCTAGCTGTGGTGTAAAGTTTATACTTAATTAACACTGCTTATAGTTTTTAATTACACCCATTTTTACAGTGTATATTTTCTGAAATATGCAGGAATTCTTTTATTCTCTCCACAAAGGACAAACATAAGTACCAAACAACTACATAGGCATAACCCTTGAGAGGGTAGATACATGTATTGTAAAACTGATGTTGTTGGTTTTTATCTTATTGAAATATAAGAGAAATGCCTATTTTACATTATTGTGTAATTATTAAGCTACACCAACCTATGCATGTATATACATTATTGTGAAATTATATATATTTTAAGCTAAAATATATATATAATTTCACAATAATGTAAAATAGGCGTTTAAACTTTAATAGAGCTACCAGTAACGTTACTGATGTTGAATTAATTCAATATAAAACTATTAGATCTTTATTCCATAGATAGCAATAAGCATTAATAGATAATAGAATTTGTAACATGGATGGGAAATCTTCCTTTGTTCTTTTCGTTGAATAAGCAGATTGTTTTCCCTCTAGTAGATTGGGTGGAGCTTAACCGTGCAATAACTAGACATGTTCAATGTTATGGCACACTATAGAGAAGAGAGGGTTTTCTGTGCAATAACAATAAGCATGTTGAGCATAGTCGTTAACAGCAGTCGTTAACAGGTTTAACCCCTCGGCCCTCGAATAATCTAAATAAAAAAATTCTTTAAGAAATATATAGTACTTTTCGGCTTATTAAATATATATATATTGTAAAATATTCGTTACTTTTCCGTTTATTTTAGCGCGAACCATTTTTAACTATTTTAGACACTAATTATCTATCTTGAAACATATTTAAATAAACAAGTATATCGTCGATAAACGCACTTTTCCATTTATTAAAGATACATTATGAAAGATCAGATAAATAGATGGCAGTTCTCGCTATAATAGTTAAAACTAGA